GCGAAAAATAATAATCGATTTAATAATAATGATGCTGATAAAAGCAGCCTTTAAATCACTGCAAAGAATTTATCGCAGAAATTATTATTCCGGATAAATAAGCTTCTCGTAATGTTCCAGAATGCAGTAAACATGCCGTCGTTGCTGGAAGCATTAGAGCTTAAGTACGGCAGCTCAACGACGGACTGCTCATTGACGGACGATGAAGCGGAGTCTGGCTCGCCCAAAGCCGCCCTGTCGGTGAGCATCTTCATCCCCAAGAAATCCCCACGACACACGGTGCCGGCGCTATTGGTGCTCCAGGACTGCGACATCGAGTCGGCGGGCAACGACGCCGAGAAGCTTCGCAGCAAGTGCAAGAACGTCGAGGAGCTTGACCTGGCGCAGAATAAGCTGTCGCAATGGACGGAGGTATTCGACATCCTGCAGCACATGCCCAAGATCAAGTTCGTGAACTTGAGCTTCAACTGCCTCGCGGAGGTGCTGGAGATCAAGCATGGTAACTACGATCTTCTGAGGAATCTCGTGCTCAATGGCACGAGGGTGTCCTGGTCGACGGTGCAGGGACTGGTACGGCACTTGCGCAATCTGGAGGAACTTCACTTGTCTTTGAACGAGTACAAAACGGTGGACCTGGATTATCAAAAGCCGGAGAACGCGAATCCGGCGCTGAAGAAATTACACTTCACCGGCAATCCGGTGGAAGTTTGGAACGAGATCTCGAAGCTAGGGTGAGTCTCACGTGATATCGTTTTAATGCTAATAATTAGAAAATCGATCAGTTTCTTTAGTAATGTAAAATAAAATTTGTTTGATAAGTTGTTATTCCGAAAGATTTGTCATTGGGCGCTGTACGCTTCTCCAGGTATCTATTTCCAAACCTGAAGAGCCTTGTCCTCGCCGAGTGTCCGATCAGATCGCTTGGTTTGGAAGAAAATCGAAATTTGCCAAGCGAGGATGGCCGCCGAACGAAAGAAGAAGGTCACGGGCAGGATAACGAAAACATGAATCACTTAGACGCGGATGAACATACCTCGTCGACGGACGATAAAGGAAATAGGATATTTGAGAGCAAGGTCAACTACGAAAGATCTGAGTCGAAGTCGGAATCCAATGGGACAACCATCAAGTCGCCCCACGATCCCTTCAGAATGCTCAGGTTCTTAAACGTGAACGGTACCCTGCTATCGGCTTGGGACGAGGTCGAAAGGCTCGCCAGGTTTCCCGCGCTGAAGTCGCTCAGGATCCAAGGCTGCCCGCTTTTCGAGGTGAGTGGTTTTCAATCTCCTCGACGATCGAAAATCGAAGAGTCTTGCATTACGTTCGTCGTCAGAAAATATTTTGATTGACGCATCTTGATTTCGCACGTGACTCGATTAAAGAAGGATAACGAGTCGGAATCGATTTCATGCTTAATATGAACAACAGACTTCTTATTTCTTCTAAATGTATAATATTAATTAAAAATGGATAGATATGTATTAAATAAAAATATTACTTAAAAGGATACTTAAAGTGGATACTTAAATCTTTGCATCGCCTGTGCGACACATTTTTTAAAATGTAAAGTACAAGAAAAATCTCGGGGAGATAGGAATCAACAAAAGAGACAATGACAACACAAGCAATAATTGGAATTAGTTATTTGCTATATGTGGGAATAATATTCGTTACTGCGACGTAGAGTAAATTTATCCCATGAAAGATCAAGATACGAAATACGATACGAGTGTACCATTCTGAAATCAATGGCTATTTTCATTCTCAAAGTGCATCAAAGTATAAAGTCTGAGCACACTTGACGATATATAGATTAGAGACACGTGTTTAATCCCTCGCATCTCAAAACTGCCACAGCCGTTAGTATTACGTGAGAAATGATGTGTCCCTTAGTGTAAGAGATCTTTTCGCGTGGACACGCAGCAATTGAATCTTGGCACATGCTCAAACAAGCATATGCTCATAGATTAATGTCACGTGCGCTTCGAAAACAAGTTCTTGGAATCAATAAACTCTCTGCAAGCACTCCCTATATTGGCACTTCCAAACACGGTCGTGTTAAGAGAATTTGATATTAATAGACGAATGTGAAATAAACAAAACTCGCTGTTTGTGTTCGAAAGGAACCTTGTTGTTTCATGTGTGAGAACCGGAACTAAATAAACTGACACACGTCACTGTGCTAATTAAACGTGCGTAACATGGTAGCCTTCGATTCAATGAGAGACCAGTTTTGTCGCGGAATGTGTTTCCTATTCTATAAGCTACTGACGTCTATAATTACAATCTATAATTGCATAATGCAGCTTTGTTGTATTTTTCAATTGATTTATATTTTTTATTTATATCTTGACAACGTTGTTCAAATCTGTATCGTTATTTGAAAGAAATTTTATTTTAAGAAAGCGGAAATTATATTATGCTGTTAGTATAAGAGACCCGTTCCATTTTGGAGCGCATCTATAAGAGCGGGCTAAAAATGTTGGATATTCCTTAAAATGCAAATATCTGCAATTTTTGTTTTAATATCAATTGAATCTTTATATTTATTTCTTTGGTACAATTTAATCCAACTATATAGCCCAAATTTAATTGATCTCTATCACATTTGTGTGGCGATCTATATTAGATATTACGCAGTTTTATCCGCCGCTTTATATTCGCTTAACATTTTCCAGAGCCCCCGGGAGTACACGGAACACGAGAGGCGGCAGCTACTAATAGCCCGACTGCCAAACGTCGAGACATTGAACGGCGGCGGCGTGATATCGTCTCAGGAGCGCGAGGACGCAGAAAGGGCCTTCATACGTTATTACATGGACAAACCGGAAGCTGATCGACCCGAAAGGTAAGTCTCTTAACGCTCGCCCAAGTTCGGTTTTGATAATTCCCTCCTTTCCCCTTTGATAATCAAGGCTCGCGCGGAACGAGTCTCGAATACTTCTTCAAAGGCGCCGTAAGTTGTTTTTTAATGCGTCTTTAACGCAAATTTCAATTTCCCCGCGAACAAGCCCGATTTTTGTCCTTCGGGCAGCTCCAACTTTGCCCGAGACTATTGGACTATTCTGGTTTCATGGCTACGCTCGCGCTCCCTTACCATTCGGAGGAACCCAACTTGACCCTGTTTTGCGATTTTCAGGTATTCCGAGCTCGTGGCTATTCACGGAAAGTTGGACCCCTTGGTGAACGTAGATTTGACGCCGGAGAAAAGGGTCAAGGTCACGTTCACTTACGGAGATCTCGTCGAGGTATTTAATTTCGTATCGGGTTTCGTCACTTTAGGTGTATTGCGTAACGGCAAACTTTTACTAGATCCATAATCTTTCCCAAATACGTGATTCGTAAAATAATTAAGTCTTTCAAGTATTTACTTCTGCAAGTAATCGCGATATGAATAAAAGAATTTCCATGCCGTGAGCAATACTTTTTATTTTACATTTGATTGGGATGATTGGTCACAAACAATGCTTTCAGGTACGGTCGGTAGATGTATATAGGACAGTTTTTGAATTAAAAACCAAGTTGGAAAGTATGGTGAAAATTCCTGCCAATAGAATGAGGCTTTTCTACGTTGATCAGGTGAGTTGTTCTGTCCTGTATTAACTAAACGATTTTAATGCTGTTCGCAGAATATTTGGCACCTTGATCGATCCTTTAAGAAACCCGAAGTTGCGATATGAATCGCATTACCCTTCCAAATAATCTTTCCTATCCTGGCATGTATATAAAGTTTGCAATTTCTCGAAGTATATCGCAAGGTACGAGCGTGAATTCTTAACGTATATGAAATTTTGTGCGAAATATTAAGAATTTACCTTATCCTACAACAAAGTTATCGAAATATATCACAGCAAAAAGATTGGAACAAATTTAAAAATTCTAGGAAATGAAAGCACAGTATGGACCGGAGGAAATGCTGTATCCAAACAAGCAACTCTATCGGTACAACATTAGGAACGGCGACGAGATCATCATTGACAGCAAACTGAATCGATTCGCGTCAACGTCGTCGACCACATCTTCCATTCGTTCCTGAAGAAGAACGACGAGTGAATCGTGCGGTATTGAAAAAATCCGATAACTCCTCGGGTTTTGATCTCCACTTATAGCCTCACGATGCGACGCTCATCGGTGAATTGTAACAATACTGTTACAGATCAATAGAGAGGCGCGATTTTCATGATTGCGTTTGCTAACACCACCGCGGGTGTCTGAGAAAACCAAAAACTGTTACAATCCAAGGAGAGCAATTCGAGGGTAAATATCTCCCTACGTTGAAGTATACAAGCTAAACGTATAGAATTATTAGGGTTTTACGGATGTTTGACGTTACCTTAAACCACAAATGTTTCAAAAATAATAATGAGCAGATATGTGAGAAATCTTTAATTGGCGAAAATTCGGTAATTTATCGGAGACGAAATTATCTAAAAACGAGTGTTGCCTGATGAACGGTATGTCTAGACATTTTCTGAAAACCATTAATTACAACCACCAATGCAAATGATCGTCCATTGCGATTGTTAGATAATTATTTCTTCGTATAACAAACTCACCCAGAGACCTCGACATATAAACTTAAACCGCTACTAACGAGCCTGGTGCATAGAGAATAATTATTGTATCCAGTGTACAAGCGTACACGCGCTTAGATGGATAGTTAGCCATCTTTTTCTTTAACGTAGTAATTCTCGTCCGTCTTAGGAGACGAAACGTAATACGGGGAAGCAGGATTGTACATAGTGAATTTCAATTTCCAGCTAAATTCGATGTAGTTACGACGCGAGCAAAGAAGATTTACCCTATTTGCTTGACGAGAAAGAAAGTGATAAGGAATTCGTAGAAGATAATTCTCGACTCATCTTAGGACGATGCCAACGACAACTGTAACGTAACGCGCCGCCGTTGAGGCTGCTGTGAAGAGAACGAAATATTTTTGTAGAGATCGCGGGCAGTTACCCTTAAAGAAAGTATAGGATCTACTCGTTCATGAAACGAACGCGTTTTGTTGTTCCCCCCGCTTGAGCACCGGGCAATAATGAAAGTGTGTAACGCAGTCGCGAAAATGCGTGCGGCTCTTTCGCGAAAGTCGCTGGTAAAAGGCAAGAAGAAGCCTTGCACGAAATTCCCGAGTAAGTTTAAGAGTAGCGGAATGTATTTACGCCGCTGATTCGCGAAAGCGTCGTTCACTTACGTCGTCATCTCGACAATTGATCTCTGTACTTTCCGAAGGTGATGTATACTTACGAGTAAACTCTTTCCTCTGTAAACTTTGCGCGAGATCAAAACGCCTAGGTGTCACGAGCTCGTAAATTACAACGTGAGTTGTAACGAATACGCGTGAAACGCGAGAGAAAATTGTGAAACCGCGCAGGAGTCGTGCGCGGTTGAAGTTATGTTTGCTATCGTCTATTTTCGACGCGTACTTAACATCTTCACTTCTCATCTTCAACAGTTTCTATGTCTTTGAACAACCATTACTTCTTTTAATTCTAAGGTATTTGAACATACGACAGCACGAATAAATTGAATATAATCGCAATCGTTTCGTTACGAAGTGGACAAACGGAAATCATGATACGTTGACGACAGCGGTAGAGTGCTAATATAAATCTTAAATGTGATAACAAAGGCGATGCCGATTGCGATTTATGAGTATAATGTTCCGGATTCGTATAATAATCTCGATTCTCGAAGGTATACCTTTTCTTTCTCTCTCTTGAATGCCACCAATATCCATATGTCTCGTTAACATTTACAGCTTACCCCAGATTTAGGGCACGAACGAGCTCGCGAAAAGAAGCTAAGTAGAAC